CTTGAGCAGCTGCAACCCCTTCCCGCGGGAACTCGAGGCTCCGAGGGCGTGGAGCCCGTCGTGGTCACGTCCTTCCCGGCCTTCCGCTCCGAGGACGGGCGTTGCTTCGGGGCAGGGGGTGTTGTCGGGGGGGGGCGGGGGGAGCCCAGGCATGATCGCGTCGTCAAAAATTACGACCGGAGGTTTTTCTCAGTTTCCGGCCTCTCGGGGTCCTCCCAGGGCCCCAGGATGATAGCAAAACGATCAGGATGAAAAGCCAGTCCCAGGGTAAGGGTCCAGACTTCCGGGGACCGCGTGTGAACAAACATCAGGACCTCGCATGTCTGGGAGCGCGGGCTCAACGGACGACGAGCACCCCGATGTAGTCAGTCGAGGGTGCTTGGAGATCGCTCCCCTCCTCGCCCGCTTCCTCCATCTCTTCTCCTGGATGCCCGCTGCCCCCCCCCCCCCCCCCCCCCCGCTTGCCTCCCCCCCTCCTCCTCGTGCGTCCTTCCTGCTGGGCCTTTGCGGCGCTGCGCGGCGTCGCCATGCAGGCCCAGTAGGAGCTCGCCAACCACTGGGGTCGCCTGCCCCCTGTCGGCTGCAGGCTTCGTGCGTGCACGCGCGTCGCCACTGGGGCACGACCGGCCCCAGCCGCCGCAGGGTGCCCTGGGACTGCGCGCCTGCCCGGCGACAGCCATTCCTTCGCACGAGCCTCTCCGTATGTGTGTGTGTGTGTGTGTGCGTGTCTATACGCTGCGTGTGCAGTGTATATAATGTGCGCGCGTGCGTGTGTGTGTGTGTGTGTGTGTTGTATTGTATTGCATTGTGTTGTGTTGTATGGTATGGTATGGTATGGTATGGTAGCATATTGTATCGCCGTGTCATGCATTGCAGTGTACCGGTTTGTAGTGTATTGCATTGTATTGCGTTGTATTGCATGTTTCTGTCTGTATATGTATGGCGGTATGTATATATTTTATATGTAGATGTATCTACTTGTGTAGCATACGCACCTCTCCTAGGGAGACGAGCTCAGATGCGATTATTGATGAAGCTGTCCCGTCCCGTCCCGTCCGCGCTCGTTAGAGCCGTTTCGTTCGGTACATCCTCATGATTATGAAAGTCGGACGGGCTCTTCATGGAGATCGCGATGTTAGGGTGAAGCACCACCATGTTTTTTTCAGTATTCACGCATCCCACGAATCATATATGTATATATATATACAGCGTGTTCCAATGAGTTTGCGCGTGATTCTTTGAACACCATAACTATTTCAATGCTTTCCCGCGTGGCTTAGAGCATCGATTCTTCTTCTGTGATCCCAAAGTAGTTTTCCCAACTTTAGTCTACGTAACCTCGGTTTGCTGCCCTTACGTCCTCGCATGCTGTAGCAACCCTACTGGTGGCCACCAATTGTTTTTGGAATTCGCCTGGGCACGCACGTACCATTTGTGTGTGTGTGTGTGTGTCCATTTCCTTGGCCGCTCGGGGGCGGAAAAGAAGCAGGGGTCCGATGGTCTGGGTCGATGCCCCGTCGGTTTCCAGAGGCCCACTGGTGATGCTGGCGGTGCTGATCATACGACTGAGAAGTCCACCAACGCAGTGCTTGCACTCGGGTGCCTTCCTTTGGTCACTTGGGGTACAGTCGGGGCCCTGAAGAAGGAACCCTTTTCGTTGGGGAGGGGCTCGGTGTTCCTTGATTGTTGTGCAATTTGCCTCAGGTTCCCCTAAGGTTTTCCACAAGAGATCGAGGTTTAACTTTTGGAAAAAGGGACCTCGTTCCTCATTTAGGGCTCCTTAGGGCAACGCCCCGACTGTAGCTGGTTGGGTGTTCTGGCTGCTCGGCTTGTGCCTGGACGCCCGTGGGCGCCCCTCTGCCATGCGTTGGAGTGGCCCTTCGCCGGAGCGACTTTCCCGGTGCGGGCTCCCACGGATCCCCCCCCTGGCAGTGGCCCGCGCGTGTGGAGTTCACCGCCCACCAAACCACCCCAACCCAACCCGAAGGCCACTATTTGCCCTCTATTTCCAGTGAGGGGGGGTCGGGGAACATAGAAAAAACACATGGAACCCGTACCCCCCCCCAACCCGAAATTCGGTTCAAATTCGGGTCTTCGGGTTGGGTTTGGGTGGTCTGGTAGGTAGTCAGGAGTTGGCCCCCCCCCCCCTTCTCCCCCCCCCTTTGGTCCCCGTGGTCTTCCTTGCCCATGTCGGCGGCGAGCGAGGGGGGGGGAAGCGAGAGGGAGGAGGCCTCCTCAGAAGGTTCGGGAGTCCCCCTGGCCTTCGGAGGAGTTGTCGGAGCCTCTCCCGGAAACAAAAAGAGGTTCTCCGGAGGCGCGAGGGCTCCTGAGAAGTCCCGCCGCCCGCCTCCCGAGAAGGCCTTCTCGTTTTCCCCCCTCGCTCGCCGCCGACTGGGGTTACTCGTGCCCAGGGTCACTGTTACATACATCGCCGAGCGCGTTGCACTACTCGCAAAGTGCCTAATCGCAAACGTCCCCCAAAAACATACGCTCGCTTCGACGACATGCATCGCAGATCCTCCGCGGCGAGTCGAGGCCATTTGCGAGTAGTTTTCTGTGGAGTCAGCGAGCGAAGAACGGTATAAAATAAACTTTTTCGTTGTCGGGGGCGCCTGTCCCTGGGCGGCTGGAAAGCTTATACCCCTACGGCGCCCCCGACAGCGAAAAAGTTTATTTTGATACCGTTCTTCGCCCGTTAATGGAAGGCGCTCGTCTGGTGCAGGCGAGCCTCCCGTCGGATTGGTGCCGCGGTTTTCGCCCACGGCTCCCGCCCGTGGCCACGCGCGTCGGCCGACCGTGGGCGCCTCGTGGGCGCCTCGTGCGCTGGGAGGGTCTGCCGAGGTCTCGCCCGGTGCCCGCCCGCCGCTGGGCGCTCGGGCGCTCTTCTGGGCGCCTCGCGGGCGCCCGGCGCGCCAGGCGGGCGTGGTTTTTTGAGTCGGACACGTCCCCCTACAGTCGGATTTTCCAAAAATAGTCCAACAAGTAGTCTGGGGATAATTTGTTGTGCGACAATATATTAAATAATCAAACATAATATAGTCAAAAACAATCAAAATTGGCCACACATAGTTAAACATGTTGTCAAACATAGTCAAAAACAGTCCACATTTGTCAAACTTCGTCAAATATTCAATCAACATTGCCCAAAAAAATTCAAACAAAATAGTCAAACAAAATATTATTTGCGGATTCTTGTTCGCCCAAACTCCACCTGTAGGAGGACATGCTCGACCTAAGCCCAGAGCCCGTTCATTGGGTGCTTTTGGGCGCCGCGCGGGCGCCCAAGGCGCGCCGGGCAGGTGTGGTTCGAGGTGCTCGCGACTGAGACTTCCTAGGAACCCCGGGCTCCCAGATGCTCCGACCTTACGTGCGTTGGCCCGTTTCGCCTGAGGCATCCTCACAACTCAGGGTTCCTAGACGCTGTTCGCGAAGTGCTCAGGCCCTTTTCGCTTGAGATATCCTCGGGATCTAGGAAACTAGGGCAGTTCAAATTTCTTCGATTCGCGTCTCAGCCGAGCGAGCTCGAATCAAACGCACTGGTGTCAGGCGGCGTCGACTTACCACATCTTTGGCAAACTTGTGAAATATCGAGTGGCGTCGGGTGGCGTCGAGTTGCCGCCACCCGTGGTAGCACCCCGCAGCTGCGGATAAGAGTGAGGGGGCGGCGGGGACGTTGGCAGTCTGCGAGGCTCTGAAGAAATCCGCCGCAGGCGTATGATTTTTCAAACTGTATGACGATCCCGCCGCAGGCGCTTTGTTGTTGTTGTTGTTGTTGTTGTTGTTGTGGTTGTTGTTGTTGTTGTTGTTGTTGTTGTTTGTCAAACAATGTGGGTGGATCGCGGGTTGGGTCGCAGGTGGGTCGCGGGTGGGTCGCCGGTGGGTCGCGGGTGGGTCACGGGCCTGGTCGCGGGTGGGTCGCGGGTGGGTCGCGGGTGGGTCGCGGGTGGGTTGTGAGCAGGTCGCGGGGTGGGTCGCGGGTGGGTCGCGGGTGGGTCGTGGGGTGGGTCGCAGGTAGGTCGCGGGCCAGGTCGCGGGGGGGGGTGACGCAACAAAACAAGCATAATCTTCGCCGTCCATCCTCACTTCAGCCACGCACCCCGGGACAGTGACTGACCAGCCGTTCCCCTCACTCTATATGTATGTATGTATGTATGTATGTATGTATGTAATGTAATGTAAGGTAATGTAATGTAATGTAATGTAATGTAATGTAATGTAATGTAATGTATGTATGTATGTATGTATGTATGCATGCATGTGTGTATGTATGCATGCATGCATGCATGCATGCATGCATGTATGTATGTATGTATGTATGTGTGCATGTATGTATGTATGTATGTATGTATGCATGCATGCATGCATGCATGCATGCATGCATGTATGTATGTATGTATGTATGTTTGTATGTATGTATGTATGTATGTATGTATGTATGTATATATATATGCATGTATTTATGTCTGTCTGTGTGTATGTATGTATGTATGTATGTATGTATGCATGTCTATGTACGCATGCATGTATTTCAAGATGTATGTATGAATGTATGCATGCATGCATACATGCATGCATGTATGTATGTATGTATGTATGTATGTACATATGTATTGATGGACGTAACGTATGCCTGTCTGGCTGCCTGTATGTATGTATGTCTGTATGTAATGCATTGTAATGTAGTGTGCTGTAATGCAATGTATTGTAGTGTAATGTAATGTAATGTAACGTAGTGTAGTGTAGTGTAGTGTAATGTCTGTATGCATGTTTGCATGCACGCATGTATGCATCTATGTATTTATGTGTGTATGTATGTACGTGTGATGTATGTAGCATGCATGCATGCATGCATGTATGCATGCACGTATGTATGTATGCATGCATGTATACTTATATGTATATTATATACATATATATATATATACATATATATATATATATATATATGTATATATATTGTATATATATATATATAATTATATAATAATATATATATACATATATACATACATATACATATATGTATATACATATGTATGTCGGAGCCACGACCTTTGGTTTCCATGGCGGCCCAGGTGGGCGTTGTGGGCTCA